GGTAGAGCATATACGGCCTCTGTTTTAATTTTGCTGTGTCCGTGTTCATGTAGATGTAGTATTAAACCTAGCTAGGGACACAAAAAGAAAACACTAATTAATCATGCATACTGAGATTCTTCCTTGTGAATCCATGCATTTGAAGCCTCCAACTGTAAGATTAATTTGTCCGTATCCATAGATATTACTACCTCCATCCCAGAATATTTGACGCCGTTGACTTTTTTAAAAATGTTTGACCGTTCGTCTTATTCAAAAAATTTAAATAATTGTTAATTCTTTTTCTATCATTTGATTTATTGTTAAATATACTTTTATGTATACATATAGTTTTACACATATCACAAAAGTTTTTGAATAAAACGAACGGTCAAACATGTTTAAAAAAGTCAACGGTGTCAAACATTTAAGGAAGGAGGGAGTATATCCATATATATGAGGATTGAGTTGTACTGGGTACTCTTACGAAATTATTTCTGTGTTTAAAGGAGTACTCTGGATTGGGGACATTTTCCTATTCCGTGTTAGATGGTAAATGATACTTCCTCTTATATGATGTTGGCTAGGTAAAAATGAACAAACCAACATCAAACAAATAAAACCAAAGGAAGCATATAAACTGAAAGAAGAAGGTTTAATCCAAATGTCGCCTATACCTGTGGATTTCGTGGTCAAGCTCTTTGGCTATTTGGATTGAAAAAAATTCATAGGATTTTTGGAGGTTTAAGATATTTGGGAAAAATTTCCTATGACATCCTTTCCGACAAAGGAAAAGGATTGCTAAAACGCATATTTGAGAAACCGAAAATGCTCTAGTTAACAAGCGACCAACGTGAGGCGATATTATCAGGCGTTGCTGACCACTCATTTCCTCATCCCCCCTCTCTCCCTTCTTCTCTCTTTGCTCTCTCTCTCTCTCTCTCTATTGCTTGCTCTCTCTCTCTCTATTGCGCATCCGCATCTGGCACTCGCATCCGGCACCGCCGCCGCCCGTCTTCCTCTCCTCCCTTTTGTGTCATTGCCCCATCACCGTATCCGGCGCTGCCGCCCGTCATCCTCTCCTCCCTCCATGTTGTTGCCTCGTCGCCTGAAGCTTGGGAGCTTGAGAGCTTGGGAGCTGCGGACGACGGCGACCGAGCTCCGTGCGGCATCGACAACAGCGGATATGCGGACATGGCTGAGCTCTGTGATGTCGACAAAAGTGGCCGAGCTCCGCGGCGTCGACGACGGTGGCTCTGTGGATGCGGTGGAGCTCGGCGCGACGTCGACGCGGATGTGGTTGCAAAACCGGAGTGGAGGAAGATGTAGATCTAGGTTTTCATCTTGAATTTTGTGACATTTCAGTCCATGTACCATGATGTTTCATCAGTTAGATTAGAAATGTTACGGTGGGTATTCGATGGTGTTTCATTCTATTTCTTGATGTATTTGGATTTGTTTCATGTTTCGATACATTCGAAACCGTTGTTTCACATGTTGTAGTAAAATGTTTCATTGTGTGATTTGATTGTGTTTCACTATATTCAGAACTGAAACATTTTTATGTAAGGTGTTTCAATTTTTGTCTTTGATTCTTTGTGGATTTGTTAATATTTCAGTAATTGAACTTTGATGTTTCATGTTTCAGAACAAATTGTTTTAGTCCATGATTCAACCGTGTTTCATCATTTGAATTTATCTGAAACGTACAAGTGTTAAGCTAGTGGTGAAACATTTTTCTTACACGTATTGAAACATTGCCCAATTTTTACAACAAAAATCGGGCGCCCAATTTATAGGTGCTTCGTTTAGAAACACATGAAAAATTAAAGACATAGTTGAAATGCCATGTACAAATAAATCCCATGTATAGGAATTCAGAACACGCAAGTTAAAAAGATGACATGTTAATTTGGATGGTTCCCAGGAAAAAAATATCACAGGTATTTGATAGTTTTCTAGAGAGAAGATATGCTTATGGTTAGATTGTATCGTGAGAGAAATACCATGAGGATCATTTAGATTGGTAAAGTAGTACTTTACATATATTTATATTTATATCTATAGTAGATTAAAAACGCTAGAAATACTTATAATTTATGACCGAAAGGAATACATCAATACTATGCTTGAGGCTAGGGTAAATGAAAAAGAATCAACAGAGATGTTGAATGCATTATTGAGCCTAAATTAAATGCGCTAATATACTACTTAGGCTTTATTCGAAGATGAAAGATGGCGGAACTTTTTCATGACACCTAAAACAAGAAAAACTATTAGCGTATGACTAATTGAGTATTAACTAATGCAAACTTAAAAAATATTTTTTTTATTTTATTTAGAAACTTCTACTGATATAGTATTTTTTAAAAGAACACCATTAATAATTCAGGAAGCACCTAGAAAAATAGACCATATTATTGATATTGTATTTTTCTAGGTGCGATGTCTGTACTGAGTGCGTGCGTATGTTTCATGCAATTAAAAAAAAAGACTCTCACAAACATAGCTAGTTGAAAATTCCCTACAAGTTGAACAAAAACACACACGAATAACGCGCGGTAGAAAAGATAAGAGACAGTAAGCAACAGTACACTACCATACAAGAAGCTAAAATCCCGGAGCATTGTCATAGAACTTCTTCTCTACTTGTCAGCTTATAATGGCGCATATACTGCCATTGGAGGAGTACGAGTAGTATCATTATTTTCAGACTACGGCCTATTTAGTTTCCAAACAAAAACTTTTTACCCGGTCGCATCAAATATTTAGACACATATATAGAGTATTCAATATAGAAAAAAATTAATTATACAGATTACATTTAAATTGCGAAACAAATCATTTAAGTCTAATTACATCATGATTTAATAATATGGTACAACAGTAAATATTCGCTAATGACAAATTAATTAGGCTTAATAAATTTGTTTCACAGTTTTCAGATGAAATCTATAATTTATTTTATTATTAGTTTACGTTTAATACTTCAAATGTGTATTTATATATTCCATGTGACATGTAAAACAATTTTTTTTGCGAACCAAAAAGGCCCAGGATTCTATTGCAGTGCAGTAAAGTAACGCGTGGCCGGCCACAGGGAGGGCCATCCTGCCAGTTTGTGGGGTCTTGAGGTGTTGTGGAGGCACATGAGGAGGTGGCCGATGATAGGTCAAAACCTTTTTACCCCCACATGCCACTGTCTGGGAGGTAATCACCTCACCTCACATTGATCTTGCCAACTTTTACTTTTAACTGGCCGGATTATTATTATTCAACTCCTCTGGGTCACAGGATCACGGCGACCTAGCTAAATAATGTCCTTTTGACACTTGACAGCAACACTGCCTCCCAAATATTCTTAAAAAAATGAGTAACTTGGTGAAGTTACTAGACTATTGTCACAAATTTACTTTTGAAGACAAATGTATACACTGCATATGGCATCTAATATAAATATTTTAAAATATATTGCTCCAAGTAATGTTTAAAGTAGTAATAATTATTTTTTAAAACACAAAACAAATATAAATGCTCACAACGTACACACACTTACTCCTATGAATACATACATGTACATCCTACATATATGAACACCGTCGAAATACTAGATCGGTATGTTTTGAGATTGATGAAGTCACCACGGACATCTCGTTTTCGACGAAATGACAAATATGTTGCCTATCACTGAAAGAATAATTAGCCGTGAATATGAGTACATGTGTCGAGTTTAGAACTTAGGTGGGCTAGTTCCATAATAAGGAACGAAAGACATGATCATACCTCATATCATTTTATGTTTTAATGATCGTTATTTCAATTTGATAATATCGCAAAATGGAAATAAAAGGGTTTTTTTTACTGTTGTGACTTGTGACGGTATACGGTTTGTAACCTTAATTAGTACTTATTATGGGTTTTTTTTCTCAAATCTAAACATCAACTTATTCGTTTTCTGTTATCATGCTTTTCAACCTATTAAAATAATGGTGCATTTTTGACAAAAAGTCTCTATATATAGAAGTTTAAAAAAATCAAATAATCCATTTTTAATTTTATAATATTAATACTTAATTAATCTAATAAGTTTTCTCGCTTTGTGTGTGCTGAAAATATCTCTACCAACTAAGAGAACGAATCGGCCTAAGGGTTGATGGTAATGCCATTGTTATAGAAACATATTTAAATTTGAATTAATTGGCTCATCGTCTTTTACTTTTCACTAATAGTTATATATGTCATGAATTTGTAATCTAAATCTATCGTGGTTTGCTTCTTTTTAAAAGAATATTATGATTTTCTTGTTATTGTGCGGTGTTTTCGAGGTTCCATTTCAACCCTTTTTTTTTTATATTCCGGTAGTTGATGATATTGTATTCGGTTCCTCTTCAAGTTATTACATTTGGCTCAAAATATAACAACGTAACCTATGTTTAAAATATAGTAACGTATTACTAATTGATTGGACACCTATAAATTTTGATATGGCACGCCTAGATTGTTATATCATGGACCGATGAAGTACATTCATAAGGAGTCCTCTAGCAAAGACAACCTATTTCTCTTAAAAGTCGGAACTTCCTAGACAGCTTTTACATACGTTCAATCTTACAAGTATGTACCCACTTTCAATTCTTACAAATTTTGATATCTTCAAGGAAAGAAAAGTTTAAATATTCTTCCTACGGCCGTTTTCCCCTTTCCCTGGAAAAAAGGATATGTTTCCGGTTACCTGCGGGAGAAGTAACTGTTACCACATGACACACCCAAAACCCCGGGCAAAAGTAACCCCACACAAACACAAAAGCTGAACCCTCTCGCTTCCCTTCCCTCCCCTATTACATCTCTTTTTTGCCTTTTCCTTTTCTTTTTTTCTCGAGGGGTTAAAACTTTGCCATCCACAATTGAGACTCGGTGGGACCCAGACCCAGGTGGGCCCACCCTCGAGTCCTCTTGTCATCTCCCCCCCCCCACACCCCCCCTCGCCTCTAAGTGCGTGCCCCCCGCCGCGTGTGCCCCCCATCCGCTCCTCCTCTCCTCTCGCTCCGCTTCCCAAAAAAAAAAGACGAGAGAGAGAAAAAAAGTTCTCCACGAGGAAGTAGTAGTAGCGAGACGAGAGGAGAGGAGGGAGCTTGAGGAGGAAGTAGGCGGCGGCGAGGTCTCGAGCTGCGGCCTGCGGCGCGGGTGGTAGCTTCGCGGCGGCGGCGGAGGAGGGGGAGGATGCGGATCCCGCGGAGGAAGGGCGGGGCGGGGCCGCTGGTGGGGGCGCCGAGCAGGAGGGCGCAGGTGGCGGCGGTGTTCGCGCTCGCGCTGCTGCTCGGTGTCTCCGTGCTCTACGACAGCGCCCACATCGCCGCCTCGCTCCGCCGCCACGGCGTCGGCGGCGGCGGGAGTAGCGGCGGCGGAGGAGGAGGAGGAGGAGACGGCGCCCGCGCCTACACAAACACCAAGCTCTCCGCCACGACGGTAAGCAAGCAAGCACCACGCCGCGCGCTCTGCGCTGTTCCTCGCTGTTCTCTCTCCATGTACTGACGGTTTCGGGAACAACCACTCCCCGCAGGAGGAGGCGGAGGCGGAGGCGGCCGAGGTGCGCTCCCCACCGGCGCAGGGGGTCGAATCGGCGGTGGAGGCGACGGATCGGGGCGAGGCTCCACCGGAGCAGCCGGTGGCCGCGGACTCCGGAGCGTCGTCAGCCGAGACCCCGCCGTCTCTGCTGGAGCAGGTGACGGAGACGCCGCCGCCGTCGCCGTCGTCGTCGTCGGCGGCGGCGGCGGCGGCGGAGGCGCAGGTGGGAGGGGATCACGGTGGCGAGAGCTGCGACGTGTACAAGGGGAGGTGGGTGTACGACGAGGCGAACGCGCCGCTGTACAAGGAGTCCGCCTGCGAGTTCCTCACCGAGCAGGTCACCTGCATGCGCAACGGCCGCCGCGACGACGACTACCAGAAATGGCGGTGGCAGCCCGACGGCTGCGACCTCCCCAGGTACGCCGCCGCCGTACTACTCCCCCCCCACCCCCCCCCCCCACCATTCCCTTCCCCTGCATATCCGCTCGCTCTACGGATGTATACCGTACACGTATACGTGTACGTACGTATCTACGCCCGCCAAGTACGTACAATTGGGGTTGGCGGGCGTGCGCTTTCGTTTCGTGAACTGGAAAGCGCGGGTGTACGCGTGCTGCGTGTGGGCGGCTGGCTGCTGCGGAGATCATGTGTGGTCTGTGGCGTGGTGAGGTGTTCGACCGCAGATGCGATTGCGAGCGATGAGATCATGTCGTCTCTTCTCTCTCTCTCTCTCTCTCTGTTTTTTTTTGGGCTGCTTTGTCTGTTCTACCGAATTTTTTGTTGACGTGGGTGGTAAGCTCGAAGGTCTCCGGCTGCTGCTGCTGGTGCCGCAATTTGCGTATGTGGGTGTACACGACAATGGCAATGGTCGTTGATACTACAGTACTACTTGCTCTCTCGCCTGATGTCATTCCATGTGTGCCGTCAGCCCGTCACTGGTTTTGGGCACGATTAGGCTATAAAATAGTGGACCGGGAACTAGTTTAAGTGGGGGAAAGCAGCATGGTGATGTTGATTCTGTTAACAGCTAACTACTCCGGGGAGGGGTTTCTGACATGTTTGTACTGTTGCTCGATATTATTCTAGGATGCCATTGCCAATTTGCTATAGTTCTTAGGGGATCATTGCATCGTAGCAACTTGTGTATTTTACATTTACACCAGCTGGTTAGTACTTGCAAATTAAGAAGGATGGTTTTTTGTTTTACTTTAACATTAGGAGTTGCGGAGATTTTTTTTTTCTAATTCTTGCAAGGGTTTTGTCCTAATTGTTGTTTGTAGTCCAAAGTTCCATTAAGGCAAGTGGTTGTGCAGCATCACGCTGCATTATGACCACAAAGTAGATCTGGTGTGCTTGATCCATTGAAACCTGTACTCATGAGCTATGTTTCTTTGCAACCAAGATTGGTATATATTGTACTTTAATTGGTTAGGTGCTATAATTAACGAGAAAAGAGACTGCACCTATTGATCAGTGTAGTCTTCAAATGTATTAATCAATTCAATGGTTGATAGAGAAGTTCTGTTTGTTACAGAAAGTTGTTAGGAGGGGAACCTGAGTGGTTTGAAACCTGAGTAGTTGCTGGATGACAGCGTTTGAACTAACTTTAACATATCTATATTGGGATATATTAGAGTTTATGCATGTCTATCATACAATTCTAACAGGTAAAGTCTTTATGAGACCCTGGACCGTATTTTCAAGTTGCAAACAAGTTTTATGTGCTGATAAATCATGAAATCTTGATATAGTATTTTCTGGTTAGGAAACTCAAGTGTATGAATGTTGAACTGTTCTTGGTTGGATAGGAAAAGGCTAAACCAAATTCCATGGGATGAGCAGGGATTTTGATTCAATTTTTTGGGCCTAATCTCTCTTGATCAAAATGAGCCCTAAGTATTGGTCTAAGAAAAACATCCAACCAAATCCATATTCTATAATCTATACTATGCAGTTTTTGTTACATGTTTTTTTTTAAAAAAAAAAACTGATTTTGTGGCTTGACAAAAAATTCCCAGATTTGACGCTAAGTTGCTCCTGGAGAAACTGAGGAACAAACGACTGATGTTTGTGGGGGATTCGCTGAATCGGAACCAATGGGAGTCCATGGTGTGCCTTGTCCAATCTGAGGCTCCCTGGGAGAAGAAATCACTTGTCAAGAATGACTCTCTAAATGTCTTCCGCCTTGAGGTAATTAGCTACTGCACTGTTCCCTAACATGACAAATAATGGAATAGTTTAATGGTTTACAAAACAGAGTCACAGACAATTACTAACAATATGGCTATAACTGGTTTTTATAAAATATCACTATAATTAATAAAAATTCTAATAGATTCCAAAGCTATATGTCTTTGTACATTTCTATTTTTGCCGACCAAAGAATAATGGCTAATGTCTTACATTTCTAACTTGGAACATTTATATGGAATATTTCAGGAGTACAATGCTACTATCGAGTTCTATTGGTCACCTTTTCTAGTTGAGTCAAACTCAGATGATCCAAACATGCATAGCATCGTTGACCGCATAATCAAGCCAACATCAATTGCAAAACATGCAGCGAATTGGGAAGGGGTGGACTACTTGATTTTCAACACTTATATTTGGTGGATGAATACACCAGAGATGAAAATTTTGTGAGTAACTTCTAAAACCTAATTTTTTATCCTTGTGGACATTGAGACATGCTGGACAAAATCTTTGGGATTGCCTGGAATATTATTATGTCCTACTCCCTCCATTTTTTAATAGATGACACTGTTGACTTTTTCTCACATGTTTGACCATTCGTCTTATTCAAAAATTTTATGCAAATGTATAAGATATTAATCACACTTAAAGTACTATGAGTGATAAAACAACTCATAACAAAATAAATTATAATTACGTAAATTTTTTGAATAAGACGAATGGTCAAACATGTGAGAAAAAGTCAACGGCGTCATCTATTAAAAAACGGAGGTAGTATATTGCTAGACTAAGCTTGTAAATGCACCTTGATTGCAGACATGGTGGGTCCTTTTCAAAGAAACCAGTGAAATACGATGAAATGGAACGTGTAGCTGCATACCGGAAGGTCCTCAAGACATGGTCTAGATGGGTAGAAAAGCATGTAGATCCGAAAAGAAGTACAGTCTTCTTCATGAGTGTCTCACCTGTGCATATGCAGTAAGTCCTCCCTCCTCTGTGTGTGTGGGTCGTGTGTCCGTGTGTCAATTGATTTCTCAGAGGGATCCACAAAAAACACACAGTTAAATCCTTTACATAGCTAGGAAATTAAAATGGTGCTGTTAGCTTGAAAGTTCAGATAGTGGTAATGTTATTCTGTTGTCATATCTTGTGCGATTCTTCTAGTGAAAATGGCTGGGTGTGCTCATGGATTGTATGATAACTTTTATCTTTTATACAGGAGCGAGGGCTGGGGAAAACCAGATGCCATAAAATGCTTCTCTGAGACGCAGCCAGCTATCAATTACACAAAGAAATTGGAGGTGGGCACGGACTGGGATCTGTTCTCGACAGCTCATCACGTAACGAAGGCTATGAAGAGGGTGCCAGTGCACTTCATCAACATAACGGCGTTGTCAGAGATCCGCAAGGACGCGCACACATCGGTGAACACCCTGCGGCAGGGGAAGCTCCTGACGAAGGAGCAGAAGGCGAACCCCCGCAAGTTCGCGGACTGCATCCACTGGTGCCTACCTGGGTTGCCAGACACATGGAACGAGTTCATTTACGGTCACATCGTCTCGAGCCCTCAAAGGAGGCCGGTTGAGCCGATTGAGAATCAACCTCAGAGATAACAGTGAAGAATTTGTCTATTTGGAATCCATTAGATCGTTTAGCGAGGAAGAAGTGGCGGCCGAGGCCATAAATTATTTTCTAGGTTTAGGAATCTATGCTGTTGATTCACCTAGGGTTTAAACAGAATGGTGGCCATGGGGTAGAGAAATGTAGCTGTAAGCAACCAAGATAGCCCTAGACGAGAGCTCTGATGCTGTCTGAGAGTTTGAATGCGGTTGTTTCTGAGGAGAATGCTTTCTCTGCTTCCCGTCCAAAAAAGGTGAGTGTATTTCCATGGATGCATGTATATAATCTTACTAAATTCTTTTGGGGAATTGTTTTCGGTTTGTCCCGTGGACAATTTTCTTGAACTGTCGCAAACGTTCCAGTAAAGCTGCAACAGTCAATATACAAATTGGCTGTTGCCTTGTGATTCATTTCCTTTTCATTGTGTCCTTCCAAGTCTATCATTTTCCTAATTTCCTTTTTGGCAAAACAGTTATCTCACAAGATCATTATAAGGTTCTCTGCCAAACCACCAAACCCAATGTTATTTTTTTTATTGCATTCTCCAATGTAATGCGTTGGCGGTTGGTCCACCCAACTCAATTTGTTAGACCTTGTTAGATCATACCTTCATGGTTATGGACACATGCTTAAATTCAACTCAATTTCTTATACCAACCAATACATGAGAAATCCATGGCTGCCTATACAAAAGGATCAAATAGAAGTAATGATTTCATAATTGCAATTGGCTCACTTGATGATCAGTTCATACTTGAAGATGAGCACAAGGTGACAAGGTGACTGCCAACCCTTTTGATCAGACCGTGTCATGGAGTTGTCGATTGTTTGAGAGAATAGGTCAACTGTGTAGACATGCCTTGAATGTTGCCAGAAAAAATATGTATTGAAGCGTTGGACTCGATAAGCAAAATGTGGAACTATTCAAGATATCCATGGGAAACAGATAGTGGAAAACATCCATGGGAAACAGATAGTGGAAAACCTCAAGCTGCATGCTACTCTTAGGTATATCTGTACCAGGAATTTCTTCCTTTGGCTTCCAGAGCTGCAGACTTTGAAGAATGTTACTCCCCTCCGTTTCAGGTTACAAGACGTTTTGACTTTGGTCAAAGTCAAACTACTCTAAGTTTGACTAAGTTTATAGACAAATATAGTAATATTTATAATATCAAAGTAGTTTTATTAAATCAATAATTGAATATATTTTCATAATAAATTTGTCTTGAGTTGAAAATGTTATTGTTTTTTCCTACAAATTTAGTCAAACTTAAAGCAGTTTGACTTTAAACAAAGTCAAGACGTCTTATAACTTGAAACGGATGTAGTACTTGCTTGTGGAAGAAGCACTTCATGCCGTTAGTAAAAAAGTTGAGGACAAAATAAAACAAATTTACAATGATGGCATAGTTGCAAAGTCAGCATCCCAGTTATCTCAGAACTTGGCACATATGTCTCTGGTCTGAAGAAAAAGGAGAGCCAGAAAAAAAAGAGAGCCGGAAACGTGTAACATAACGGAAAACAAATTGGATTGATAAACTGCAAAAACACAAAAAAAAAAAATAGAAAGGTAAATATATTTGTACCCTACTATGTAACAAGTTAAAATGGGACTATAAATTGAGCCCCTTCTCAAATCTATTATGCAGCATGAAGAAAAGGCAAAGGAGAAAAACTTGCAAACTGATGTGGAAGAACATCAAGAATATGAAGCAATTAGCAGCTATGCTCAACTTCTACTAGTATGCTGACCAGTTTCTTCAAAGATAAATATATGTGCTAACAAATTATTCTAATTTGGATATTATCTTTTTTTCCCTAGGGTTCTATTGATGTTGAAGATGTCATCTTATCTTAAAAGTTCATTCGAAGAGGTCAACAGAACTTAGAAGGCATCATGCTGATTTTGGAAGCAAATGATGATCTACTTTTGGACCGTGAAAGCTTTTCTAATTGGGTTAACCTAGCAATAGCTTAGCTAGTTGATTTTCAAAGCTTTTGTCTCAGTGGATGCATGACACCCAATTCCAGAGAAAATAGTTAAACTCTAGCTCATTTTGTCAATTCTATGTGCAAGATATTATGAAGTTCAATATAATGAAATGAAGTATGTGTCTATTTTGTTTTTTTAACTATATTTGGATTTTCTTGAAGTTCAAGAAAATTCATATCAAAAGGAGTGAAATTGCAGGCAAAATTTGAACTGAAGCTATTCTGTGCTTGATCAAATTGCTAAAATGATGCATGACACATGCACACAGTAAAATCTGGACTATCCCTTGTGTGCTGGATGGTTGGATGATTCGGTACTGCCAAAGTTGTAGTCACTATTGTGACTGCACCTGATCGGAATCCGGAGGGGGACGAGTAGAAAGAGTTGATTAGGCAATTAAAAGGAGAAATCATGTGGATTTTTTAATGTGTATAATTTGTGCCATTATATATAGAAGTCACCATTTACTATTCCTTGTAAGAGTAAATTGCACCCACGATACAACAACTTATCGGATGGGTGCGATATAGTGCAAGAACTTGAGAATTGACCGTTCGAGTACAACAACTTGACAAGTGGGTGCGTTCTAGTACAAAACTTGACAATTTTACATCCAATTACCTTTAAGAATTTTTGTTTTTTTCACCTTCCCAAATCTCAATTGAAATATAATAATTTCTACATCCAGTTTAATTGACTTTCATTTATTAGTTATTAGAATAAAAATATAAATATGCTTATATATAAATCCACGCTAGTATATTGTCAAAATAAGTACTTAAAAATTAAATATGTATAAAAAAAAGTGCTCCAAATAATTAAGTTGTCGGATAACTTCTTAACTTATTGTATCAAAATCGTACATATCTTGCAAGTTGTTGCATGTATGCAATCACTTATAAACTTCTTGTACTAAATTACACTTACATGTCAAGTTGTTGCACTAGAACACTCATTTTTCAAGTTCTTGCACCAAATTATACCCACCTGCCAAGTTAATACACCGTGGGTGCAATTTACTCTTCTTATAGATACAACACATAACCTAACCTACACAATGTTCCCCTATTTAAATCTGAAATAAAATGCGATCACAAGTCACTCTCGACCAACGTAAGAACAAGGAATTTTTTTCCCACATGTTCGATTACCTTTATTATTAGACAACTATTCAAAATTCAAAATTTTGAATTTTAAAAATTACCAGCGATTACTGATAAAACAAGTATTTTAAAACACATTTATTTTTCATAAACCTAACTTACAAAAATCCATACTACTTAAAAAATTGAAAACGTTTCCGTCGTCCGTAATAACGGAAAAAAGGGCGAACAAACATAAAAACAATTCAATTTGAAGCTTAATGCGAGTACGAATCAAATTTGGCCCAAAATCCTAGAGAAAACACTACTACAAGAATACAAAAACATATTTCATCAACAACAACGACAACACAAGAACATCACAAGCACAAAAACACCGACGCCGGAAGGGGAGGGTGCCACCGTCGCCGCCGAACCGCCGCCTTCATCACAGGGACACCGGGCCGCCGCTGGCTCCCCTCCCGCTGGATCCGACGGAGGGGAGGGCGCCGTCCCTGCCCGCCACCATGGGTGGGGGAGGTGGAGCGGCGTCGCCGCCGGTGGGGGAGGGGGAGGTGGAACGACGCCTTCGCCGGTGGGGGAGGGGAGTGGCGCCGCTGGCTCCGTCGTTTTGAGAGAGAGAGAGAGAGAGAGAGAGGCGCCGCTGCTGCCTCCCCTCTCGCTGGATCCGGCAGAGGGAGGGCACCGCCCCTGCCCGCTGCCTCCCCTCCTACTGAAAGGGAGGGCGTTGCCGCTTGCCGCCACCCGCCACCGTGGGAGGGGGAGGGGGAGCGGCGCCGCTGCGGTAGAAAGGGAGAGGCGCCGCCATTTAGAGAGAGAGAGATAGATAGATAGATAGATAGATAGATAGATAGATAGATAGATAGATAGATAGATAGATAGATAGATAGATAGATAGAGAGGGAGGCAGAGGAAATTATTTTAGGGTTAGGGTTTAGGATGCCGAACTTTTATATAGACCCGGATCAATCTAGACCGTCAATCAGATCGGATGACTACGCCTTCTCCCACATCGGGCCACGGTTCCCAGGCCGCCTCATGGGCCGCGTGTATGCTGTTGGCGGCTGTTAAGTGCAAAAGTTGTGCCGCCAACGCCTGCGTAAAACTCAGATAATAAAATATCCAATATAGTGATAGGTGTTAATTCTAACATATTCCATGAGTGTTGGTGCATATTTGATGCAAGTTATAAACCACATAAGTTGGGAGGAAATTTAGACTAAAAGTGAGAAGAAATCTATCCATATAAGAGTTGGGTTTTAGACTTCACCAAAACTCCGGAGAATTAGCCCAAAATTAGAAGAAATGGATAAGGCAGGGCAAGGAGGAGGCCCAGACCAAACCTGGCAGCCAGATGGGCCAGCCTAGGTTCGGGGTTCGGCCGAACCCTGGTTTCCTCCGTTGGATCTGGGGTTTGGCAGGGACGCTCCAGATGCTCTCCTGATGACGATTGCGGGGCAATTTAGATATTTCGCATCATTCCAACCATCATACTTGCCCTATAAATAGACTTCACTTTTTCACACACTTCCAAGCTTGAGCTGAATTATAAGAGGCTCTATTGTACTATTTGTATACTAGAATTAGGAAGAGGTAGAGTAGAAGAAGTCGGAGGAATTCCGGAGTTGTTGGTAATCCTCTCCTGTTTCTTTTATTCTATTAATTACTCTGTTTTCAATAGAAATATCTTTCTGAGTAATTTAGATTTACTTGTGAGAACTACTTCTTGGTTAGTTCCTAATCAGCATACAGGATTATTGTTCCCTATAATCAACTAAAATATAGTGATTGCTTTAGTGAGTTATAAACACTAGAGTAGATATTAATTGTTTAGACGTGGTATTTAGGTAATTAATATCTAGTAATTGCTGCGTATCCCACAGTACGTTTGAGGTGGGTGTAGAGCTGATGACAGCTCTCAAGAGCACTTAAGTCCTCCCTGTCTGGGTACGTAGTAGAGTGACATCTAGGAAGAGCTGCCAGTGTTATTGCATTAGGATTAAAATTAAGCATCCCACTAGGAAATTCTCTCTATCCTTCGCCTACCATAGCTTAGTGTCCTTGGGTGAACTTGATATGGAAGTAATACCCGTTCCCTATGGAAATCGATACCTGAGAATATTTTCGGGTGAAGTGCTACATCGGTATTTTACGTGTGCTTGCGAATTTTCTCTGTAAGGTTATGAAATACCAACATAGGCTCCGCACGAAATAAGTTCAGTTCAGGTCCCTTAATACTGAGTTCTTTCCTTCTAATACTACTAAACGGTGCATTTTTCGCAAAAATTATCTATATGAAAGTTGCTTTAAAAACATATTAATCTATTTTTTTAATTATTTTTTACTAGTACTTAATTAGTTATATATTAATAAATTACTATGTTTTCCGTGACAATACTCCCTAAGAAAACGAAAATGGCTAATCTCTATCTCTACTACTTAAAAAATTTGAAAATGTTTTTGTCGTCCATCTAAAATGAAAAAAAGAGAGAAAAAAGTCTGATTGTATGTAAAAAGGGCAGAAATAAGTCTGATTTCTATTCGATTTCATTGTTTATACGTTCAATATCTCTAACCTCTTCTGGTGAAATTTTCTTCCATCCTCACCTATTTTTGTCCGCAACATTCCAAGTCCAACACACAACAAATCATCCAGAATCCGCATCAAATAACACTTCACCTTCGCTTACCCAAAAGAGAACGAACGGTAAATTTTAATTCGCAGGCTGAAGAATAAATGCTGAAATTATGTTTGTATTGTCAAAATTAGCAATTAAGCTTTGAAAATTTCAATGAAATTCCAAAGAGTGTAGTTAATTATGAAGAATTTAAAAAGAATAAATCCAACAGGTAGCACCTATTTTACTTGTAAATTAATTTAATTATACACTTTCCAACTTAAAAAAATATCCAAATTTTGAAGGAAATTTGTGTTGGCAACTTTTTGTGACAAGTTGACAAGCACAATCACAGCACCTAAAGCTTTGCGGTGATTCTAGAGTCGCCAACCATCCTAATCTAGCAAGCACTAGATCAAGTTGGGTTTTGATAAACTAAACCAGCTAGCGGAGCCGATCTAGATAGAACGATGGATAACTACCCGTCTAGTGGGCAAAATGGATGGTTTTCAGGATAAACCTACAAAGAGGTGTCGCACTCTCGCAGTGGCGGCGAACGATTTACAGTGTAAATAGACAAAGATGGACAAACTAAGAGAAAACTAAAAGCAATATGAAAAACGATTCGATTGATTGATTGATTTATTTATTTTTTACAATGAACCGGCCTTATTCCTTATATAGGGGTTGGTCTTGCCCTCTACAGGCTCTCCTCCACGTCCAACTCTCGGGATAGAAACCAAAGGAAACCCGAAACATGCCTTCCAGAGCAAGGAAACTTCAAAACCCGACGAAATAGACTTGGGCTCGGACTCTGCCGGTCAGACCGGCCACATGCCGGCGGTCTAACCGGAGTTCAGGCCGCGGTCTGACCGGCCTATACACGGCAGTCAGACCGGCCTCCCAGAGGAAACACCGGTAGATCGTCCAAACTTTGGCAATTTCCCTATTTTAATCCTAGGTGCCAAATTTGGGTGTAAACAATTTGTATTTCAATTAATTACATAATATAAATCTTTTTACTTTTCCTTAATTTTCTGGTCTTAACACTTCCCGTTGCAACGCACGGGCACTTTTGCTAGTAGAATAATAATCACAATGCAATCATCTATAGGGACAAGCATAAAAAGGGACAGGTTATATAGTAGTATTTCACAAATGTAACGATAAATACATTTCAAATTTGAATGTTTCTTGTTTCCTTTTGAAATGTACAGATAAAGAGCCTCGTCGCTTCCAAAAAAGAATCAGCCGTTGTCAATATTTAAATTTTAAAACTTAATTTTGAAGTCAATTTTTGAGTATTTTCAAAGTAGTTTCATTTTTAAATTGCGAAGGACACAAGTTTTATATACAAATTATGTTTTGGTCATTAATAAACCGTTTGGCTGTGCGAATTTGC